TCTTTACAGCCTCGTTTTATCTGAAACTCCAAGCCATTATGTCAACCCCACTGCCATAACATTTAATATGTGTAAATATTCGGGTTACATTCTCAAAATGCATTAAGCATTTAATTTTTTTTTGTAAAGAAATTTGTAAAAATTGTAAATAAAAAATTAACTATAGTCTATTTTTTCTTTATACGCCTTAAATCTATCAGTACATTTTCACAGACAAAAACAAAAGCTGCTCTACCAATTACTAAATTAAACGCATTTTTTAAAAAGAAATATCTATCTACGACATACTATGTACACATAGACGAATCTAAAATTCCACCAAGCAAACAGATGGCCACAATACATACTTCCGAAATTTAAAATAAAAAAAAACAAAAGAAACAATAATTATTTTAAAATGTGACTTCGCCTTGTGCAAGTTATCATTTGCAAGAGGCCAATGTATTCAATATTTAAGCAGCGTATTGTATTGTAATCACTGTTTACAAATAGGTAGCGCAAGGACTTGATTCCGAACGCAACAGGATTCCCGCGCGGTCAACTCATAAGTGTCACTTGTCAATGTCACATTGACGTGTTACTAAAAACATTACTCTTTTAGGCGGGAAATTTTTGATAGGCACATTTTTTTAATGAACGAGAATTCTACGATGTAATCATATTAATCATACTTAATACTATAAATGTGAAAGTTTAGATGGATGGATGGATGGATGGATGTTAGAGTTTGTAGCTTAAACGGCTGAACGGATTTTGATCAAATTTGGTAGAAATGTAGAGAATAGTCTGAAAGAACACATAGGCTACTTACTTTTGTTTTTTTGTATTCCACACGGATGGAGTCGCGATTGAAAGTTAGTAACATTACAAAATGCACAAGCTAATTGCGAGAAAATACGAAAATAAATAACAATTACAAAACATAATATTCGTTTCTTACGTTACTCAAAATAATTTCAATATCACTTACACGATTGAATACCTCGAAACGAATAATTCATTTTATAATAAAGCATTTTTATTCTTTGTCGCGCATGTGCAATATTACGTGTCTCGAAACAGTTTTGATGTGACGCCGTTACTTCGAAATATACGCTCAGTTCCAATTAGTAACGCACTTGCCGAATTAACCGCGCAATGTATGAAAAACATTGAAAACTTGTGTAATACGAAGACCTATAATGTGTTTTAATTATAATCTATACTCTATTCTATTCGTAAATGGAAGGACGGAAAGTTGAAAGGCAAAGAATATGAAAAAATATTTATAGAACTGGCAACTGATAAAAAATGGCAAAGAATCTGTTATCAGTTTTGAAAACAAATATCAGAAAAAAAATAAGATTAGCTTGGCGTACATATCCCACAAACAATGTACACTAAGTGACCCCCTTAGTATTCACTAAATAACATTGAATGCAGTAGTTAGTTAGCATTAATATCTGATTTTGATACGATTAAACCGCCAACATGGTAATTTTAAGGATGTTAATGACGCGGAAGAATTGTCATTCATTAAATAATGTAGTCTAATTGTATACTTCCGTTAAACGCACTTTTACATCTTGTTTTGTATAATTAATGAAGACATACAAATGTTTCCGTTCAGATATTCTACATATAACCTTTTTTATCAACAAGCTATAAAATCTTCATTAAACATAAAACCCTTAGAATAATGTGAGGTCATAGTTAAATTACAATCTATCATAAATACATTTTAATAAAAAAATTACGTATCTATTTACCTGTATGTCAATTTAGTTAAAAACAGAGATCCAACCACTTGTATTAAATTCATTACAAAACTTCAATGCGTCAAGAAATATAAATTTTACTATGAAAGAAAAACTTATTATTTCTGAAAACTAACCTCTTACATCACCAACACAAATATAATGAATATTTAAAATTACCCTCTTTGATTTGTATTAACATTTAATTTTTTAACATCAAAACATTTTTGTTAATCTACCATACCCTTAACCATTAGGCCTACATATTAAAAAATATTATAATTTATTTTTGCGGTCTGGTTACGAGGCCTTTAAGCCAACTATATCGTATCAGAACCTTAGCAACACCTTTTATAAAAAAAACAACAAACTAATTTAATTCTCTTATATTTAACCAAATATAGAAACTTACAAATGTTCATAGACATGGGATACAGGACCCATTTTTATCATCACGACCTCTGTCGGGTAAAACGACATTTTATTAAACGTATTAGTTTCAATTTCTCGTCCATTCTAGGATTATTATTAAGATATGTTAAGGCGAAATTGCTATCTAGTTTTCTATATAAGCTAATGAAGTATTCGGTGGCCGTTGAATTATAATAAAGTTAAGGAATCATCAACATTCTGCATCACTTCAATGCTAATTTCTATATTTATATAAATGGAACACGATCTTAGATAGCGTCAATATACTTTTATATACCCTCTTATGGTCAAAAATTTAAAACCATTTAGATCTCATTAAATTAGACGAAAATTTGCAACGTTTTGCTTTCGGTTAAAAAATTACTTGTATGCAAAAACTGGAGTAAAAAACTGATTCTTTAGATGTGAAAATTTTAATAAGTGTGTTCCTACTTATTGCTTACTTACCTTTCTTGGTATTCTGTATAAACTAGTTATACTACGTAGTTATTTCAAGTGGGTATATCCCAAAATAGTTATACAAAAATAGCGTTATCCCTGTTTTTTTCATCGAAATTGATAAGGATAGCAATATTTGTTGACTGTTTCGGCAGGAAACCCACGGTAACGAAAATAAAACATTTGAGATTATGTCAGGGACAACAATAATTTCCGCATTACTTATAACTCGTAATATCTACCCACAGACCTACGTACAGTCATGTGTTTATAAGTATATATTTATTGTTTTAGCATTTGGTTGCAAAGAATTGTCCCACGTGTTTTCTGCATTGTTCCATTTATTAATATCAAAACAACCTATAACCGTATTTTTATTTAATGTTAAAAGTTGACAACTTTATTTACATTTTACTGGCACTAAAATGAGACACTTTCCTGGTTAGTTTGTTTTCGAAAAAGTTGTTTTCATCAACAAAGAGGAAATATTCTGCGATTTTTTTAAAGTCTTATATAGGAAACACGAAAATTTTAAAAATTGCCTCAAGGACGTAGTGTAGGCGTTTTGTATTTAGCACAAATTGCTTAAATTAAAAAATAATAAATAATTTAGTGTCACAATAGACACATGGGTGTATTTTTCTGTTCTTCCGTCGTCTTTTCGTAACGTTAATGTTCTGTTTTATCATCTGCAAACTCAGCTGTTCTTCTAGAAGTTTCTTCAATGTCTTCATAATGTCATCCACCGATGTATGTTTAGTTACGTACTTTTCTATCTTCATGAAGACAGAAGCACAGCTCTCAGGAGTCATCTTTATAATAATTATTATTTAATAATTTTACGAACACGTCAATATTATCTAAATTTAATATCAGAACTGCAATATACCTATTTATTTTTTTGCTATTTTATTTTAACAGGCGTTACATATAAGGGATTTAAAGTTCAAAGTCTACCTTATTTAACATGGGTTGAAGAGGATTTAAAAGAGACTGTATTGTCGCTTCATAATGTAATGATGGTTTAAACGTCAACCAGCTGTAATTTGTAGTCGAAGTAGTTCTCTCTCGACTTCGTGAATGTTTTATCAAATATTCAATCTGCGAATTATATTAGTGAAAAGTTAACAATTTGGCTTCATCACAAAGATACCATTACCTTGTAAAGACTCATTATTAATACGAAAATCAAACTTACATATTGTGCAAGTACCCTTGGCGTAAAACTTTGTTCTGAATAAATTCGTTGCGATTCTTTTTTCAGGAACATTTTTTTAACTTTAACTCGGTAGACTGAAGGGGAAAGAACAGCTTGTGTAGTTTAAAGTGAATAAATAAAGCTTCCATTATTAAGTGCATATTGATTCAAGATAACGTCCAGAATTGATATTTAATTTTGTCGCCAATCTATACGGCTCAAGTGGTTGGTTTAAAGCTTATCACTTCAACTAAGGTTCAATTAAACCAACCCGCAAATATTGAACGATAAGGTAACCAGTAAAATGTTAACGAATGATATCTATATTCTTAGTTACAATTATTTAAAAATATAATACAAATTACTTTACATAAATAACGCGATAAAACAATTTTTTTATTTATTTTGCGTATCACTTTTAAGTTTAATGCGTGGATCATTTGCGTTAAATCCATTGCCCAAAAAAAGAAATTAAAACTATTAAAAATGACGTTGCCAAAAAATGATTTCATAAAATGAGTTTTGGCTCTACAAGTGATGGAGTTTTAAGGAAAATTATTAAGAATGTTATATACAGAGTGATAATTATATCGAGAGCGTTCTGTTGTGTGCCATTGGATAATATTACAAGCTTTGTGAAGAAACCGAAGTCAAAATCGAACGTATCTGATCGTATATCTAATGTCATTAGTAGGTATAAATCAGGCGACGCTAAATCCAAGCCTACGTTAAATAACCCAAAAGAACAAATAAGTTCCACACCCCAGAAACGTGGTTCAACTCGATATCTAATATACTTACCGAAAAGACCGAAGAAAAATCACAAATGCTTCCAAATAGATCCTCTCAGCATCGACAGACACGACAAAAACTTTAAAATGTGGAGCATCAGAGAAGTAAACTCATTACACAAAAAAGGGACAAAAGATTTATCAAATTTGGTCATAGACAAAAGTTACATAACACACGACGGTAAAGTGATAGTTAAATTAAAGAAGAAACCTTTTAGTTTGAAAAGGTTGTTTTCCAGTAAACCTAAAGTGGGCGTTAATCATTCAATGACGTGATGTCAAAATGAAAAAAAACTATCCAAAAGGTAAAAAATATTTTTCATGTTCGATTGAAGTTTTTAGTTTCGTCTTGTAGTTGTTAAATTTTTGAGGTTATGTTGTTACAAAGCATCAATAAAATACAAATTATATTATGTGAATCTTTATTAAACAACGTAGTGTGAATAATTATTTGGTAGTAACTTATAAAATACCGTTTTTGGTAACTGAAGGAATGTTTTATCACAGAAGAAAATGAGAAAAATGCCCTTTAGTGGCTACCGCACCTTAATACCCTATTTTCTATTCAAAGCGTGTTAACCTCTAAAAAACAAAATAGTGCAATATAAAACTACAAACTTTTAGCTACTTGTGCCTTAATAAAAATAAATAGCAATTTAATTCAACTAAAATTTTAGCTAAATAAATAGATTTTGCTAATGGCAAGACATTAATTTGTTTTAATCTTTGTTTGAGCTGAGTATGGCCACATTGCAATTGCGGGCGCCAAGCGCAATAACAAAGCGGGTTTTATAGTATTTAGTAGAAATTGTAAAGAATAAAAGCAGATCGCATCACTTCTATTTATATTGTCTTGGGCGTGTTTAAATATGTACAATATAATAGCAGTGCTAAATGCTGATAAAATCAATGAACGATCCCTCGTGTAATGCCGATATCTGAAATAAGAAAGGACACTTATTGACTTTTATTACAATAAAACAAAAAAAAACTATAAACCATAAACAGTTTGAATTTTTATATAATCACGTAACAATTTGAGGGCGTCGGTGGTTCTGGGGTTTAAGCACTTGACTAATCTACAGGTCCTGGGTTCGAATCTTGCCGTACCAATGTGATTCTCGATTTTTTACATTTCATTATGTACATAATTTACCCGCCGTTCTTACGGTGAAGGTAAACATCGTGATGCGACATATCGGTGAAGAAATTCAAAGACATGTGTGAAGTCAACCCACATTGGGCCAGTTTAGTTTTTTTGAATCGACATCTACAGACTCTTGGTCCGTGCTCTTTTTTGCACAGTTTATATCTTCTTTTTTGTTGAGTAATCCTTGTGCTACATTTTTTTTTTCATTATTAATAGTTTGCATCCCCCCCCCC